TGCGAATGAGTTCTGAGGAATCGTTCATGTTGCACTGCACTACTTTTTCCGCTATTCGTTTATGACGTCATCAGGGTGTCGTCTATCCTTGACCATCACGGCGCCCAATGAATTGATAATCGATGACGCGCTAAGGATGCGCCAGAGTTGAGATATTAGATTTATTATGCGAAGTTGATTTGATGAAATTTTCTTTTATTTATGTAGCTGATGACAGTTTTATGTTTCTTACCTTTTGTTTTATTCAAATATCAATAATAATTTCAAGAAATAACACATTTGCGTTTTGTGAATAGTTTTCAATAAATCTATGCCTAACGTATTACAACACTAACATAACGACTTTGGCGTGCTGGACATAGTATTTGCTTAGATAAAAATTCCTTTTTTTTTAGTTCAACGTTTCTTAGTACTTGTGGCTCTAGGAGACTTGTTTTTTATACTCACATGTTGCTGGATTATTCTTTTTTGAGGAGTGTAAAATTAAAATACCAGTAATCTTTTTCCAATATCTATATTTCATATTTTTTGTGGGCCGGGTTTTTTGTCAACTATAGACGTCGTTGGCGCTCAGAGCTCGCAGGTGCTGGTCAAGTATAGGCGACTTTGGCGCTCAAAAGGTTAAATATAGCGCGCTATAACAAAGCGTATTTAATAGAATCTTAGAAATTTATAGTTTATAGTCTGTAGCGTGCTATTGATTTATAGACGTTTTGAACAACTTTACCGCAGACGTCGGGGGCAGGGAGGGGACTCCGCTCTACATACCGCGCCGTTGCTCCGTCTAGTCGGCGAGTTGACCCACTATTAGTATTTATTACACATATGGCATAAGACAGAAGTTCAAACAGGTTACTTTTAATGCTCGCTTTTTTATAATTGTACAATAAACTTGTTACAGTTACGATTGACGCCAAATTTATTAAAATCTATTTATATACCAGCTGTCACACAATTGTATTCGTTTTAACCATTTATCTTAAGAAATTACGTGGCTTTCATTTAAATTTATTAATTCTTTCCAATTTAAAGTTACAGTTTTAATTCAATTTAAAAAACCTAAAAAAAGCAGGGACAAACAATACCGGAGCGTTTTTCGTTTCACTATAATTCTACCGAAACTAAAATGTTACCTATTCTCTTCGCTGTGCCGGGTGTTTCTAAGGGTATGTTCCGAAATAGAACCCAGTATACTGGCCAATGCAAATGACGTCATAAATCGACGCCATACTTGTGATTTGTTATATCGAATATGGCGGTTATGGCGTCAATTAATGACGTCATTTGCATTCGCCAATATACTGTGAACATTTCGGAACACACCCTAATTATACTGACATATTATGTCATCTTTGAAATTGACGTCAATAATGTGTCAATACTATGCTTTGATTTTTGTTATTTATGTATGTATTTATCTCTCTATGTTTGTTATTGCCGAATTTTCGTGATTTAGTTGTCATTGTTTTGTCATTGTTTTTAGTAGTGTTGTTATTAAGTTGTTTGTACAAAAAGTGGCTTACAACATACAATATCTGAGTCTGACCAAAGCCAACGGCAAAAAAACGGGCCCAAAAGTTGACCACGACGACATAATAATGTCTCCCAAGAAAAAGAGAATGAAAAAAATTCCACTTCGTGCTTTAGAAAAGCAAACTATAATAAATATTTTTAAGTAAGGAGTCCTGGTCTGCAAGTACTCCTCATTATTAGACTGAGATGATAAAAAAACTGCAGAAGTAGCCGATATAGATGATTTATAAAATGATTACTGAGTAAAGAGTTGCCCACCTTAGATAAGATATTGGCAGCAGTACAGTGACGAGTCTCTGCCAGAGTTTAAAAGAAGCAGTCTATATAAAATAACTAAAGAAAAATTTAATTAATTTAACAGATTTTTTTTTTCAAATCGTTACTCGAATTTGGCCCAAAAGAGGGCTCAAGTCACTCGAGAAATGATCAAGGAATTCTTTGAACTCATTAAAATGGAAATAGATGGAGTCCCACCAGAAAATATATATAACATGGATGAGTGGGGATTTCATGATGACCCAGAAGAAAAAGTTGTTTTTTCTTCCCAGGGTTATAGGTACTCTCGAAGCGAGTCTCCTTTTTTATATTTAAAGCAAAGAAACTGTGGTGAGATTGGCATTTTCAATCTCCTTCAGGTTCAAGAATGGTTGTGTCTGAATCTGGATGGATAGATTTTTTAATCTTTGAGAAGTGGTTGGAAAGACATTTTATTCCACGCGTTGATAAGCAAGATAACAAAAAGGTATTGTTGTGCGATAATCTCAACACTCACATATCACCAAAAGCTTTTCATCTTTGCAATGAACATAACATCACATTCATTCACTTAATACGAAATTCAATCCACCTTTGAAACCACTTGATGTGGGTTATTCTTCTGGCTTAAAAACTGTATGGAAGAAAGTTCACAATGATTATTGACAGACTAGTATAGGAAAAAGGTACAAGCACTGCCAAAGCCTCTCTTTGCCCAGCTGCTCCATAAATCTCTAGATAATATTGAAGGTACGTCGTCTGATAACGTGAAAGCAAGATTTCGGAGATGTGGCTTACAACCAATTCACCTTCTACCGTTTTGAACAAATTACCAACATACACGTCTCAGGCAGATGTTTGCGATTCTAGTAAGTTTCATAAACTACATCGAAGAAATAAGGCAAGGAGATTTGAATTCTAAAGAACGGAAGAAAATTTCAATTACCTGTCACGGCAGGGAAGTGTTTCAGCTGAGGAGTTCGAAAAATATTATGAAAAAAGACACAATACAAACAAAAGTAAAGGCAAAACTGAGATGAAAGCGACACCCAATCCGAGAGAAAAGGACGACCCCTCCGTTCTAAGAACAAAAAGAAGAAGAATATTACTGATAATATAGAAGAAGAAAAAAGTAAAGAATTTCACAGTGACCTGATAGCGGAGAAGTAAAAGATACAAGTACAGAAAACAAGGGAGGCGTTAGAGTTCCGAAAATAAAAGAGGCTACATATTGTGTCTTTAGAGAACAGGGTGGTTTGTTCCCAGGAAGGATACAAAAATTTTTATCATTACGATTCTCTGTGTTCAAAAAAAACTTTTTTGGAGGTTGGTTTTGGCTGTCTAAAGCTGACATATGTCAAATTAACAAGGCTAATATAATAAGCAACAGTTATCCAAAAAAGGCGGCCAAGTTTTTATTGAAAATGACATTTTGTTCGTGCAATGGGGTGAATGACATTGTTTAAAAAAGTTGTTTAAGAAAATGTTACTTGCAATTACGATTTAGATCTCATTCGATAGCCAAATAAACATATAATTTTACTTTATCATGATCTTAAAACATCACAATCATTTTTTTCCACCAAATTGGTCCACCTTGATCCATATGGCAAGACCAAGTTATCTATCATATTTAACGTCACCATAGATGCTATTTTGATAGATTAGGCTTTTGTTAATAAAAACACATCATCTAATTTTGTAAAAAATTTAGATTCAAAGTTACAATGCTCACGATAACTTTGAATTTGACTTTTAGAGGAATTTATAGGTAGTTCCGTTTTTAGTCTAGGTAGTTGTGTTTTTTCCTGTAAATTTATTGTGTTGGAAAAATAAACCAAGTCAAAAGAACACTATTTATTCAATAAAATAAAGTGTATAAATATAAATCAGATTGTAATATCACAAATACAGTAAAAATGGTTCAAACTAACCCAAATTGACAGTAAACAAAAACATTTATTATAAAAATTGGTTGTAGATGAGATGGCCAGATAGAGAAGGGTATTTTAGTACTGCACCTTCAACCCTACCATTGCAAACTCAATCCTATAGAATTAATTTGGGCTCAAATGAGGGAAGCTCTGGATAATATTACGTCAGAACAATGGCAGTCATGCGTTGCTCTTGCAATTAAAGAACAGGAAAGGTTTTGCCAACTTGATGGCATAATGAAGATGTGGTAGAAAAATTTATTATTAACATCGGTGAAACTTCTTCACCTTCATCATCTGATAATAGCAACTAAATTAGACCTATGATGAATACCAAAAATTTTTATCAATATATTGTGTATTGTAAGTGATTTTAAATTAAAATGACTTAAAATTCATACTTAAACTTAGAACATAAACGTAATACATATATACCTAGATAAATACATGTTTTATATGAATTTATGTATTTATTGTATATGTAAGTGGTATACCACTAACTACCTGCAGTATTGTGACTTTTTCTCTCTTTAATCTATCCAAAGGTTATCTGTAAAAGATCGCTTTTAGTTTCTCCGCCCATTGTATCGCCCTATGTAAGATTTCTACATTTATATCTGTATTTTTATGGTGTATATAATAAAGAGTATTTTATCCTATTCCATGATTGTGATCCCTTGTTACGTTCATTAGTTTTGTTGTAAGTTTGTAATGTGTTATGAAGATGTTAATTTTTAATATTTCGTTTATTTAAGTATTTATAATGTTAAAACAATTTCAATTGGAATTAAAATAGTTTTAACTTAACTTTGAAATAAAATGTTTTGCACTCCTGCTTCTGCTAGCCTCTTTTTTCTAATGCTATAATAAATGGAGTATAGTTGTTTTAAAAATGCTGCTGCTCATCTCATTTCCTTTTGCCTCTGTCTCCTTTTACGACATTTACAAGATCACTCACTGTGACAACATTACGCGCACATCACACGCGGCAAAGTGTGACGTGCAATTTAAATGATAAATACTTTAAGTTCGCATTCAATTTAATAAAATAATTTTAATCAAAGTTGCAACATTAAATTTCTTCTTTCAAATCCCATAACAATTCACTACTGGACATGGGCCTTTATCATAGTAGGAAGGATTTACCATGCTAGTAAACAATCATTATCACTTCAGTCCCTAACATATCACAAATGGACATTTAAGGTCTCATCTCCACTCTTAAGAACATAGCCTTCTAACATTACATTATTAAAAAAAAATAAGCATAAAATATACCTTATGGCAATGTTACTGATGTTGACTTTCGACAATGAACATAATGGATTGATGCTGCTGACTGTCAGCGTGTATGGTGGGCACAGACCGAAGGCATTCGATCTGATGGGATGTCCAGTCCTTTTTTTGACAATAAGTAGAGCAATATGGAGTGCGCCGACACAAGGAACATTCTGCTGATGCTTCCCGGTTACAATTTGCACACTACAAAAATTATTTTAGGGTTAATATTCAACATTATTACCATTTACAACAATACTCCTCTTATGTAAAGAGTAAAAGAATTTGGTCTCTATTCTCTATTAATAGTAACAATTATTTTCTTACAATAGAATTTACTTGTTCCACCTGCCATGTCTTGTATTTTGTTTTTTTTTTTTCTACAAATATTACCTATTTTAAAACTAAAATTAGTTAGATTACCACCATTATTAGGCATTTAGTAAATAAATTTAGAGACCCTAAAAACACGATCCTTCATCTAGTTATTGAAAAAATATTAAATCAGCCCAGTTTTGGAGAATGAAGCACTTTCACAAAAATAACTTTAGAAAATTATTCCTTAATAAATTTTACTCATGCCACAAATGCTCTTTACCATACACCCATTTGAAACTCATAAAAAAACAATATGAATAACAATAAAAACAAAAAATTGTGCCTTGGCACAGTTTTGTTTCTTATTATTTTTACAACTTATACTGATAAACTAGAATGCATAAAATGTTATTAAATTAAAAAATAAGATATACCATTATAAACAGTTTTTTAGTTATTTTGAAAGGTATAATACTAACTACAGGCTATGAGACATTCAGTCTTCAGATGTCATCTGCAGCCTTCTTTATTTGATGTGTCCATGCACTGCAGGATCCACTTACCATCAGGTTGATTGTAAGTTTATTTGTTGCTTCAGTTTAAAAAAAACTAGTACATTATTTAGATGTTCCTTATGTATATTTCACTTAGCAGACAAAGAATGCTAAAGAGTAAAGTATAAAAATTAGACTTGCAACAAATAATACAGTCGATCACATGAACGAATACCACATATTCTGCGGGTCTGCCGCTCGAATAGCCGAATATTAGGCAAAGTATTCGGCCGGGAAGAAAGTAGTGTTTATTCAGAGCTTCTATTCTCTGATGCTGGGATTGTGAGTAAACTATTGTCTGAAAATACAGAAAAATTAGACTTTCTGCATCATAATCTTCCACTTTAATTAACATAATTTAAGTGCATAGACACATATCTAAGATTTTTTTTAAATTTTATAATACAGAAGTTAATTATGTACCTATTAACTACTTTAACGATTACAAGAAAAATACATTATTTCAAAATATATCAATATTTTCATTTCATTTTCAAAAATCATCTGACTAGAACAAAACAGTATTTTGTAGTATCCGGTATTTGGCTTAATAGTCCCTAGATATTCAGTATTCCACCAAATACGATAAAAGTAGCCGAAAAGGCCCAACACCAAATAATCTAAAATGTTAAAGTCAAATAAAAAAATCTGAAAAATTACAACCCATGTTACATAGTAAAAATACCATAGTGTATAAAGTAGTACTATGTTGTCACCAACAGAACTAATTGTAATGCTATACTGACAAGATAATGGAGTTTTTTTTTAAATATTAAAGGGTAATAACAGAGCAAGGAGTTCGCCTGACAGTAAGTAGATACTAGATACTGTGGTCCATAGACACATACACCTATCCTCAAATAAATACTAAAATACAAATGCTTTGTTACCCCCGAGGTCTACCATGAAATACCTCATTAATGAGGACTGAATGAACTGCCTCGTTACCAGTGAAAAGGGCTAAGACAAACTTCCTTTCAAAAGAGACAAATTATCAAGGATTTTGTGATTATCATTTATCTTAGTATTGTAACAAAACAATTAACATGCGCAGGCCCATTTACAAATATATAGTCTAAAAATTTTGATATTAAATATTAAATGTAACTACTTGTTGAACAAATGTATGCAGATTAACAAAACGAGGAATGAGATAAATTGATCACAATTACTTAGAGAACATGAACCAATTTGTTACCGTTATCATTTTATGGACTAAAAATGGGCATTATGGCACTATTTTTTGGGAAGAACTGTGGCAAAAATTGTCAAATTGTTGTACTTTTTTGTTCTCACTTTTTAATTTTAAAAATAATAAATAAATGGTTACAACTTTAAACATTGCGAGTCGTGTGCTCACATGTATTTTCAATATCAATCAAAAAATTTGCAGTTCAATTATTGAAGCATTTACAAACACAATTATAAATGCTGCAGATCAAACAATTCCTATTAAAAAAATAAAAGAGTACAAACTCCCCTTAATGTTGGGACTTCTGAATGTACTGTACTGAATCCATAGTAGAAAAGAAGCCGAAAATCATTTTTAATTTTTTGATAGCAGAGATAAGCAACTTCTTAAAGTGAATATTCCTGCACTCCCATGAAATTTAAATTATGAGGAATTTACATTACTCGTAAGTTATTCTAACCATGTGATTATTTCACTACAATATACTAAAAATTAACTGCTGAGGCACTCAATGCCATTTCTGTATCACTAACAATACATCTAAATAACTCAAGAAAACCTAGTAATACATGATAGTTTTCATACTTTATAATATTAAATAACCATAATATGTAGGTAATTAACCTTTTTTGACTCTGTATCCTCAACATTATGAAGGGAAACTTGTTCAGCATCAACATGAGCTTCTACACCTGCAGCAAGCAATGCAGATGCTCTCTCTTGCTCTAATCTTTCTATCTGCCTTGTGCTAACTATTCTAACATCTTCTACACACTGTTTCAATTCCCCAGCAACTCGTACAAGTGTTTGGCCAATATCTTCCAAACGTTTTAATACAGCACTCATATCTGGTAGCCCTGAAAATATTAAAATTTCAATTAAAGATACAACTTCAGTAGTTTGTAAATATACAACATCAGTAGGTGGTGGTGAACTGAGATGATTCCCTGTGGCTGGCCAAAGATGAAGGGGTAGCTCGAAGTGACCACTAAGTGGGCTTGTCGAGTACTTTATGTATGTATGTTGGTAGACTATGATAAAGGGTGGCCACTCCATCTACCACCACAGCCAGTGGAACCATGGGGGACGAGGAGTGTTGGTACTGCGATGACACTAGTCATATTTTCCACAACTCTTGCGAGGAATGCAACGATGATGCAGTGGTGGTAAGGTGATAGAGCGAGAAAAAGGTTGGTGTTATCTCTACCCTCTGTGGCAGAAACTAAGTAGGCAGCGGAGTCATAGGCCAGATCAGTTGCTGGAGTCAGGAAGACTGGTGCTACCAAGTGCTCGTTTTTTCCTGGTCCCACGGCTTTCGCGCATCTGACTAGGGAAGATTCGTTGTGCAGGTGAAGTTGGAGGCTGTTGAGGAATACGCGCCTTGTGTTCTGGTGCGCCTTACCAGAGAAAGCCAGGAGATGTCAAGGCAGGAAGCATTCCCATGGCCCTGCCAATATGCAGCGAAGGTGAAAGAACATGGGAGGCTTTAGTTGTACTTGCACCCGCGAGGCCAGTATGCGTATATATTATCTCATGTAAAAAAATAAAAGTTGGCATTTTACAACACCAGCCTATATATGGCAGTAAAACCCAAATGGCAACCGGATCTGCACCTTATATACTGTTCCGACAGAGGTAACATGAAATAGAAAGTGAGCAGCAGCATCTTCCAGATAACAATTCAAAACTATAAAAAACAGTGGTTTACAACTCTATGTTCAGCAATTGATTTTATAGGCTGTAATCAATGAATGGATGGATGAATACCATACATTAGACATTGTAAATGATGTAAAATAAATTCTGGTTCCTAAATTGTATCTATTCAAATGTTAGAAAGTACACCACTTGAGATGCAATGATTCACCAGGATGGCAACAAGCTCTAGAGATGATGACGATACCATCATTTATACCTATAATTTTCTTTATTTGAAGTAGACTGCAGGTGACAATGGGCCACAGTAGCCACTTGCCATCAGATAGACCGTTAATACTTTTAACAACATTATAAAATTTTACTTTCTTAAAACATATTAGCGCTCTTTGAAATTATAATTAATTTAACAACTGTAGGCAGAATACTGCTGTGAAGAATATTGTATGTGAAGAATATGTATTGTTCTCAAGGGTGACAACACCACATCTATGTCTATGGACCACAGCATTAACTTATCTTTATCATAACAGTAGACACACACACAAGTACTGTGTGCTTGTTATTCACAACTACTTCTATAAAAAAATTAAGAAGTAATTAAAATTCAAAACAAAAATAAAAATAAAATCAATATTTGGCTGGATTAAGAAAAATTCAACATAAAAAGAAAATATTTGAAAATTCGCTGACTAAAATTTCAAATAAGTAGTAAAGAAATACTGCATATTCATTTTGTAAATAAATATATTACAACTATTCCCAAATAACATTTCACTGTGCTAAATAAAAGTTATATAAACTATAACAAATAAATGAAATCTTTTAAAAACTACACAGTAGGATTATTTTTGTATGCATCTGCTTGTTGCTTACATTGTGTTACAATTCGCATTGCCAATAGCTAGCCACAAAGTGGAACAGTACTTGTCACAAATCGAATAGAAAAGAAAGAATAGAATTTTAATAGTTATGTGCCAATAAACTTTCGCATAAGCATTTACATACTCAGCATATTAAAGATCAACAAATCTTAGCAACTTCATCATGTTTTTTGTTTCTAGCAACTAAAATCTCTAAAGTAAAAAGTAAATTTAAAATTTATTATTTTCAGCCAAAATAGCAAATAAGTAATCTTAATTGAAAAAAAAACCAGATTTTTTAAGTTATTATTACTGTTTTAAAATGCAATGTGGATGTGGCTTGTAATAGTTACCATCAACATCTTAGGTATATAATTATTATTTAATTTAATGGCTTAAATCTAACCAAAAATGTAAATGTAAAAGGCAGTCAAGTTTTGTACAAACAACAATTAGAAATATCAATTTTGCAGATAATAGTTGGGATCTCAACAGATGCCAAGCTCCATATCAGTTCCTTTCTTTATTTGATTGTATAATGAACTTCAACAGGTTTTTTCTTACATTTACACTTTATTGTTTTCTTTTTCTAATAAAAATTCTTCATTTATACTGTATATATATATATCACAGAATACCAGCGTAAAATAGTGCTGCTGTGTTTCGTATGGTGAGTGTAGAGAACCGTAGACCCTTTTTACTGTAAACGAGGCATTCCATCTTAGTCCTCATGGGTGACAATGCATCGCATTTTGATTCATAATCGAAGATAGATGTAGATTTCTATGGGCCACAGCAACCATCAGGAGGACTGTGATTTCGTTTGTCACCCTATCCTATATAATAAAGCTATAATAAGAAAACTAAAAATACTCTATATTTAAAAGTAAATAGATAATATGAATACATACGCTTATCATTACCTAACGTAGGATCAGGTTTTGTTTCAGGATTTTCCAACAAATGATAATCTCCACTGGTTTCCAATCCTTCTGCTATTGTTTGCCATGCCTCCTTTGAATGGCTATTATTACTTGTCTGGTGGATATTATCTACATCACTCTCTACAAGTATGGTATCTCGTTTAGTCTTAGGTTTTTTTTCTTCAGGTTCTTGATTATTACGTCTTCTGCGTTTATAAGGAGTAAAAAGGCGGACTGGACCCATAGCTGAAATAGCAATAAAATGTTTAATTATAAATTACATTAATAATCTTTACATGGTAGAGCTATACTACAGCTATATTGTGGTTGTATCATGAATGGGTCGGCTTGACCTGGGTAGGACCATGCTCTCACAGAATACCAGCGTAAAACAGCAGCTTAATGCTGCTGTGTTTCATTTGGTGAGTGTAGAGAACTGGAGATCCTTTTTACTAGGATCGAGGCATTCCATCTTGGTCCTCAGGGGTGGCAGCTCGTTTGTCACCCTTATTCTATAAAAAAATACACTACTATGTACTATCAAAGTAAATAATTACCAGTGGGGGATTCCATGGAACTGTTTCTGTGGATTGACCCTTACTGTCATCTTATTACATGTTAGGAATAAACTTCCGAGATATTATATCAAAACAATATAAACTCACATAATATACTAAGTAGGATAAAAATATTTTGAAGTAACTGCTAGCTGGTAGATATAAAATTTTCTACTTTTTATATAAACCCCTCACCTCAAATTAAATCATTATGTTAGCACAATATACTCTTCAAAACAGCTTATTTGTTTTTTAAAGTGCTCAAATGGCAAATATCTGAGTCTGGCTATACATATATAAACAGGAGAATATTTGTAATGATTATGATATTAATTTAAATTTCTGAAAATTCAAATAGATGTTTCAAGGTGCAATATGCTTTAGAAACAAGAAAAATAAACAATGTTTACCTGATTGATCATCACAACATGCCCCGCAAGTACAACTTGTTGCATGAGGTGTTAAAATACCTTCATCGATTAATGCTTGTATACTTCTGCCACCAAATCGAATTGACCTCTTCCAGTCTTTACTAGAAGCTCGACCACATAATGCTTCAAACTCACTAGGAGTGTACCACTCCATACCATACTTGATACATCGGCCCCGACCTCCAGATCCAAATCTTTGTTTGTGAAGCTCAGCTGACGTATTTTTGCACCGTACTGGCAAGACTGGCATATTTGCAGTTTCTGCCCATGATCGAGCACTAGCTGCGCGAGTTGAAGGAGTAGAACTTGAACTAGCATCGTCGTGAGTTTGCTCACGAACTGGAGGAGATGAAGGATTTTGTATAACGATGTGTGTAGCTTTTATGTCCTCAGAAACAGGCCCGCCCGAAATAAAACCGTTGTCAACACATATCATAGGTTTAAAATGTGGCAGCTGGTCAGACGTGATTACATTGAATGTGGTGCCAGTTATAAGCGTTCCGACTGGTAAAGACACTGGTACTGTAATGACACCATTTGAATCACTGGAAAGTCGAGTGGTCTTGATTTCACTCGCTAAAACAGCACGGCCATCAGTACGATCGGAATCGTGCTCGGTCTCCGTCGCCAGCGGATCGGCTTCGGATACTTCGGTAATGTCCGGCATAACGACGTTGTCCGAAGTCCTGTTCTCCGCCATCACTTTCTTCCGCCCTCCCCGAAAATCCCCCTCTCGGTTCGACCGTATTTTGAACACTCACATGAACGAAAATAAATAAAAATGTTATTATCCGCCTTAGTCCGCCATAATGAAATTATATATTACTCTACTCTATGTACCTAACCTAATGAAGGTAATGAAAACAAATTCTTACACGTAGGTTATGGCGGAAAGTTCGAATTTTAAACCATGCAATTATGTACTCAAGAGGTAGAAACTTTCTTTTAGAACGTAGTAGTGATTATATGCTCTTTGCTTTCTTCTAAACGTTATGGCGTGTGGAGTTTTGGCGGGAACTTGGCCGTAGAAGGATTGTCGCTCCTGTTTTGTCGCTTTAATAATGGCTTGAAGTGGATTTTGATTCGTAAAAGTGATGCGATTTTGTGAAATATTAAAGAAAACGACGAAACAAGAGCTTTGACGTCGATATAAACCTTAAGTTATTTTGATCGCTTGGGCGCCTTATGAACTTGAGTGGCTGTCGTCATCAACTGTCCGCTAGACAGCTGTCGTCAAATTCTCCGAAAGAATTCGCAATAACTAATAAAATTTTTCATTCTTTGTTCTCAAGATACACGAGGCGACAATTGAATCCGAAGATACATCACAACAACATACATCTTAAAAACAATACTATTCGACTCTAATGACCTTGAAACGTGGAGTTATGTTAAAAGTTCCAATACGCAAAATCGGACCCATTACAATAACTTCTCACTGGGAAGTTAAAAAAATATCTAAGTAATAAAATAACTTAGTATGTACATATTGCCTGTATATTTAAATATACAGGTAATATGTTATTGATGGCATGATATTTTGTTTACATTTTTTTTCTTGAATAGAGAAAATAAATTTACATTGTAATATTTATTTTGTAACCTACCTAATTTTTCGTAACATTCTTTTTCGTTATTTTTATAATATTAAATATTTGAATATTAAACCAAAGGAGACGGCATGGCAAGGTATACCCTTCTGTAAAAGGTACGAAAGTCCGACTCATATCCATTATCATAGAGGTTAGAGAATAAGAGAACGATCGCTGTAGAAAATAGTGTCCCGGAAATATGGACATAATAAGTGAAGGGCTGCGATCGCTAAGTTGTCTCAATAATTTTAATTATTATAAATGTTATAAATTATTACAAATGTAAATTATTTCTTATTTATTATTTTTTATTACATTTCACAATTTTTTACTGTTTATTTTTGTCAAAAATTAAATAAAATTACTTCGCAGACAATACTTACCGACGGCAGCGCAGCTATAAATTCTACAAATTTTCAGGGACAGATGGGCTATGCTTTGGCACATAACGACCTTTCTCCTGTTTTCTAACCTCCATGTACGTTATATAAAACTAATTGCTCCGCGTCGTGTGCCATTATGCAAGTTCTCTGAGTCTTTGACTAGTATATAGTTAACTGTGATGCAAGTAATCCAATTGAGCTCCTAAAAAGAGCCGAATTGAAGTGATTATTTTTTATAGAAGAGGGGCAAACTAGCATACAGTTCACCTGATGTTAAGTGACTACTGCCGCCCATGAACATCCTCAACACCAGAGGAATTGCAGGTGCGTTGCCGGCCTTTTAGAGAGGAGTAAGCTCTTTTCTTGAAGGTCCCCAGGTCGTATCAGTCCGGAAAAATCACCGGTGGTAAATTATTCCACAGAGAGGTCGTACGCGGAAGAAAACTCCTAGTGAGACATACAGTGGTTGACCGCCAAGCATCCAGACGGTGAGGATGGTATCGAGAGGTTTGCCGCGTGGTGCGTTCATAAAATTTGGCGGCTGGGATTAATCCGAACAATTCCTCAGAGCACTCCCCGTGATAGATGTGATAAAATACTCAAAGAGATGCAACATCTCTTCGCAACGACAGTGAATCGAGCCGATCGGAGAGCTATCGGTCGTCGACGATTCGAGCCGCTCTGCGCTGGATGCGGTCAAGTGGAAGGAGCTGGTACTGGGGAGCTCCAGCCCAGAGATGGGAACAGTACTCCATGTGCGGCCTAACCTGCGCCTTGTAAAGTTGCAGGCGATGTGCCGGCATGAAATAGTGTCCCGCTCTGCTGAGCACGCTAAGCTTTTTAGAGGCCAATTTGGCCTTCTCTTCCAAGACCACGAAACTGCACGCAACTACAAGCTGAGGCAACAAGTGGAGTGCCTTGAAACTGAGGAGATAGGACAAAGGGGTTCTTTTTAGCGGTTAACGTACAAACTTGTGTCTTGTGAGGGTTAAACTGGACTAGATTTAGCCGCCCCCAATCCGGAACTTTGTTCAGTAAAGGCTCGAATTCAGACACAAGTTTGTCTCGGTACTCGGAGACTTTGTCCAGAGAAATATTGGCACGGCCGGTGTACAGAGCATTACCAGTGCGGTCATCTGCATAGCTATGAATGTTACGGGTTTGCAACATATCGTTGATATACAGAAGAAACATCGTTGGTGTGAGCACGCAGCTTTGTGGAACACCAGCATTAATAGGCTTAAAATTGAAAACATCTTATAATCAGTCGCATTATAACGCTAAATGTTACTTTTTGTGCACTCTTAGAAGTACTAAGAAATAAAAACTAAAATGGCGAATATTATTATAATATTTCAATATTGTGAGCTTAGAAAACAGAAAAAATAATGTTTTCTCTTTTTATATTAACATAATTACATAGTCGTACGATACAAAGAAAGATAATATATAATATTTTTGTTTCTGTATCGGCGGCTGTACATGCTCGTTTCGTTGCCTCATGTGCCTCTCGTCGCGTAAAGGCTTGACACGAGAACACACCATGTACATTATACTCACTCGTTGTATCATTTGATGCCGGCTGTACACGCTCGTCGAGACACCACGAGACAGGCCGAGTTCGAGTGTGTGCCCTAGCTTGCTACATATTTATTTATCTATGGTGTGCCCTCGTCGCGTCGCATCGCGTCTCGTGGCCCTCGTGCGCTCTCGGAAGCGTGTCGGTTTTTTGCGCTCGAGTCAAAGGGTCTAGTGAGTCTCGCGATGAAAACGATATCGTAGTCTATTCCATTCACCGTACATAATTCTGTTACGGTAAATATATATCATCCACCATCTCCTTCTACGCAATGACTTATTAATTTTATTTGTTAGTAAATTTGTTAGTTTTTTTTTTAGTTTATTTACCTCCTGAGCCACCTGCATCCATCGACTTCCTGCATGTCTTACCAGGTCGTTACTCCATCTAGTGGGGGTCGCCCTGCAATTCACCTACCGGTACGAGGCTGCCACTTGAGAACCTTTTTTCCCCAACGGTTGTCGGTTTTTCGAGCTATATGGCTGGCCCATTGACAATTCAGCTTACAAATCCGTTGGGCTAAGTCGGTCACTATGGTTCTATTGCGGATATCCTTATTTCTAAGTCTATCACGCAGAGAAACCCCAAACATAGCCCTCTCCATAGCTCGCTGAGCGACTTTGAGCGTCATCATACGGCTAGCAGTGAAGGACCACGTCTCGGTTCCATAGGTCATGTTAATTATGTAATAATATATTTTTTATCTCTTATATGTTTTATTACTTGTTATTGGCATGTTTAATACAATAATATTTATTCTTGTGTTTTTTAATTTAAATTATTGTTTGTTTTAGAGTCTCCATTGCCACCTGATGCAAATTTTACGAAAGAGGAGCTATCAATACTTGATGATGTTGATTTGAATGATAGCAAATATGTATTGCAGAATATCGTTTCTAACGCTTCCATATTATTCCCGGATGATATTCCTTGCTTCTAGCCTTGGATATCGAATGGTGATAATAGAATCAAAAAGGAGATTGATCACCATCAGTCGTAGAAAACATACTTGAAGATGAAAACCCGGTATGACCGAAAAATGAACAACAAAGTGGTCGACGAATGTTCACTAGTGCGGTTGCACAATCCAGTCGGCAGCAAAGGGAAATCTCCTAAGCTTGAAGCTAAATGAGACGACCCGTACCGTATTGTGACCAGGATCAACGACTTATCCTACCGGATATAGAAAGGCGCAAGAGGTACTCCTAAGATCGTCCATGTGGATCGGCTGGCGAATTACTATGGGGTCGATAATGCTCGGGACGAGCATGTCTTGGGAATTATAGCGCGCAACACTGCCCCCAGTGTTGCGCGCTATAATTAGCTCCTGGTATGTGGCGGCTGATTTTTAGCGCCATCTGATATCAAGCAGCAGAAATAGGAGCGTCAAGATCTTTCTAGTACTTTACCTCTATCGCCATCTAGTATCGAATGAAAGAACTAAGCTTTCTAGAAAGCCCCACACTCGAACTTTCTGCACCTGGTTGGTCGGGGCCGGTATTTGCTGGAATATTCTGGATGTTTTGGTGGAAAAAACCTATATAAAGCGGTTGAAAGCCGCGATCGGGCCAGTATTGAATTGTCGATACGAGCGAAGCTTTCGGAGTGAAATAAAGAGAACCAAAGTGTTAACTTTTAATAATTATTAGTGTGGTTTAAGTTTTAATTGGTATTGGTAATTAAAGTCTCAATTTTGGTAATTCAATCGGCAGTTTTTATTGTCACGTATCCTAAGCTCGTAACAATAGTATCTAGCATAGCATTTTAACTGTTCTGCTTAATTCCTATCTCTTCTGCTGAGGCTGCTTAGCGCTTAGGAATTTTAACTTCCTAGAAGGGGCGCTGAACTTGGTAAGGGCGCGTACAAACGCTACTAAAAGTTTCCCTAATGCTGGCCTCCGTCTGGAATGCCAGGATCTATCCACCCATCCACCTACCTACCTAAGCCTTGCTTGCTGCCGTGCTCTTAGCTAACGGACTGTTGACCTACTATCCTGCCAACGGCCATCATCAAAGTCGGATATGGGTTAGCATCAGCTCCCTCCGCTAGCTGTCTGTCTGCTACCTCAAAAACTTCGCCTGAACTTCGCCTCCCTACGTCAGGCCAGTGATCCCCTTCCTAAATCTAAACTTGTACGTGGGCGGA